GGAATGCCAAAAGATGCACGAATGACATGCACTGTTACTTTTTCACATACGCAACAAGATGTTTTACAATTGTAGAGCATCGGTGAGTGAACCATGGACATTAGATTACCCGATGGAAAGCAAAATGGGGATTTATTACATTTTTTTCATCAACTTGGTGTCAAATTTATTTTTAACCCATAAGAGACATTTTTATAATAAGTATAATGTTTGTTTTTTACCTTCTTTTCTCAAGAATGGCCAAAAGAATCTGAAAAGTAAGGAGTTAAGATTAAGAGTAATGTGTTATCTTTTAAAAACGGCTGATCAAAATCCATCATTAAAAATTCTAAGCTACTACAAATTTAATCAAAATGTCTGTATAAGATAGATAAAAGTTGCACAGAAGAATTTCTAGCTCTTCTCCCTTTGCATTCCCTACTTACTGACCACAAATCTAATGTTATCAAGGATTCTTGGTTTTCATTAGCTTAGGGAGGGCTCTACCTTTGGCAAAAGGAGAATTGTCTAGTTCTGAATGGAAAGAAGAACATACAGATGACCACAAAGAGGCAACTTAGTCCAATGCCTGGTTTAAGATAATCAAACCTGTAGCAGAAACAGCTGGAATATCAGTGGAACGTCAAATCCAAGTGGAGAGAGATGGGAATGATGGCCTACATCAGTGGGATTGGCGATGTGGGTCAAGGAAGATTTGAGAATTGTTCCCCTACTGATGGGTATTAACATGGGGAACCATAAGAAAGCATGATAAATTTCTTTGATCCTTAAAGGAACATTTGCTGGAGTTTTGCCTCTCATTAACAAGATTCGTTAAACACAAAACAAAACAACAAAACGAAACAAAAAAACCCTTAAGATTAAGCCTGCTTCAAAATCTAGATTGTATATACTATCTAAATCAGAATTCTCAGAGCCTTTGGCATTTGCTTGACTTGGCAGCTCATTTGGGGGAAAGGTTTCTTAGAGTAATTGAGTCAAGGTAAGTCCTTGAGTTCCTTGTCCATCAAGCCAACTTGGTCTTCTATTGAGTGAAGCTGTAATTCCAGAAGTACTAAATCTGTCACATTAAAATGTATCTGCTACTTTCATTTACTCCGCAAATTGAATATAATTTATTTGATGCTTACTATAGATCAGGCACTGTTCTAGACAGTGGGGATACTGTTAGTAAGCTAAATAAATAAAAACCCTGCCCTACTTGGAGCAGAATGGAAGTGATAGAGAAGTAACTAGATTGGATATATTGTCAATGTAGAGCCAGTATGGATTATTGATGGATTGGATATTAGTTGTGAAGGAGAGACAGGGTCAGTGACAGCTTCATTTTGGGCCCAAGGAGTTGAAAGGATGAAAATGCCAATGACTGAGATGCAGAAGATTTCATGAGGAGCAGATTTCAAGAGAGATTCCTATTCAATGCCCAGAGAGAAATGCTGAATTGGCAATTAGAAAGAGAAGTCTGAAATTAAGAAAAGGGTTTATTCTCTAGATATATGTTTGAGTGTCACCAACGTATAGCTGGGAATTAAAGCCATGAAACTGGTGAGATGATCAAAGGATTAAATGCAGTTAGAGAGGAAAGGAAATTCAAAGATGCCTTGGGACATTATAAATTTCAGAAATTAGAAAGATGCCTTTGTAATGTGTTATTTTGTGTCATCACTGCTCTTTTTTTAAATCCTTTTTATAAAATTCCTAATCGATACCTATAAGAGGAGTGGCACATTTGATCCTCAATACAGGGTGACTGGAGCACATGTGTACTATCAGCCAAGGTTTGGCTTTTTAAATGTAAATTAATTAAAATTAAATAAAACTAAGTATTCATTTTCTTAGCTGTATTAGCCATGTTTCTCATGCTCAATAGCCACAATATGGCTAGTGGCTACTAAATTAGATGTCATAGACATGGAATATTTCTACCATTGAAGAAAATTCTGCTGGACAGAACTGTTCTCTAATGTGATATTGTGCTAATTAGGAAAAGTTATTCTCTTACAGGAAGATGCTGCCTGGGTGTGTAGACTGAAATGGATTTTACTTATCCCTGTCTAAGCTTGCAGTGAAACTCTGGATGGGAGATTTCTAGGGAGCATGAAAATTCTTGGATCTTTGAGATAGGCCAGCATTGTTGAAAGAAAGGAAAAAAAAGAAGATGCTAGGAACACTGACAATAGAGCCAGTACAGAAAATTTTTGTGGAGGCAGGTGGTTTAGTTTTGAAAATTTGTCTACAACTGTAGACCTTGGGGTCTGACTCCCAGGGAAATGGGAAATGGGAAATGGGAAAATCTTTGCTATTAAATGTTAACATAAACTTAGATATGTGTTGTAAAAAGTACTTTTTCTTTGCTATGCTTTATATGATATATTTATATTTCCCCTTTTTTACTGTTAGAAATCTTTGTCTCCTTGAAACGTCTAAAAATGGATTATCAAGCACACACATTAAAAAAAACGAAGCTCTTTCTGGTTTCAGTCTTCAAAACTGCAGGCACAGCATCCCAGGTAAACAATGAAAGCACTTTCTTCTAACTGAGATTAACCAAATGGTGAGTGCTAAAGTTTTGCGTCTTATGTCTGATATGTGATTTGCTGTCCAGTGTTCTGCCATCCATCATTTTACCATGACACTGATTTTTTTGGGAGAAGAACTGGACATCGTTTATGTGAAAGGGCATGAAACGTGCCAGAAAATATGTACCAATAGCATCCACTGCCAATTTTTTATCTATTCTCCATCTCAAGAATCTTACAACATAAAGAAGTAAGACACAAGGAGGGCTCCAGAGATGCTCCTGCCCCACCGCTTTGAGAGGTGCATTGCATTTATACCACTTTGTTTCCAACCTGCAAGGGTAAATGTTACTTAAAACTGTCTTCCAATGGATTGCCAACTAAAATACTTCATGGGAGAGGAGGCATCTCTGGATACACATTAAGGTTATGTAAAATGGATAATGGTGAGTTTAATGTCACTTGAAAAAAATACATGTGAAGGAATTATTCTATACTTAACATAGCGTGACTAAGAGATCCAATAATAGCCACATAGGGGAAACATTAGTGAAAAAACAGATGTACAATTTTCTGTTAGTTTCACTCCTTATCACCCAGGCCGACCATGTTTCAATGGGCCTTGACTAAACTGCATCCCCTAGTATTAACTGAATATGTGTTTTAATTTGACACATCTTACAAATGGTATTTCATTGTGAACCAACACTTTGTCTGATTTTTGTTATCAAGGCCAACTATATTTTTATTATCCTTTATAATCGAAATATCCCCAAATCTCAGTTAATCAAATTATTCATTTTCTTTGAATAACCATTACTTGACCTTTAGTTGAAACATAAATAATCATCATATGTTTGAAAATTTATGTATCTATTTAAGAAATACTCGAGTAGCTACTTTTCAGAGGCCTTCATTCTTTCAGGTTTTGCATATTGGCACATTATGAATTTTGGCAAAAATTACAGTAAAATCTTATCAATGTGTAGCAGTATGATAGGGTGGAAATGAACAGATTGTCTAGATTAAACAAGACCTATAACATAAAAGTTAGAATAAAAATCAAATCAGCAGTGTTTTTATCCCAATGGCCAATTCTGAGAGTAGTAGCAAGGGATATTTTATAGGCAAACAGAATCATTTAAGGCACAGAATCCCCAACAAGAAAGAACATATCAGCCACATACTCCTCCCTAGAATATCACAACACTCTATTATGTCTTTAGTACTTACTGATTTACATAAAACCGCATATTTTTAGACTTTTATTGCTTAATGTCTGGGGGTTGTGATGGGAATCTTTAAATGATCCAACTTGTTTTAAAATGTCCATCAATTAAGTTTTGTTTCATAATTCTCTGTTTTGCTCACAATAACCTTAGTTTATGTAAGGTAAACCTTAAGTTTACCTAAGACAAGAAGGAGTATTTATAATAATTCTCTTGCCTTAGTTCTACTAAACATTAGAAGGGACACTTAGAAAATTTTATTGTTAGTGATGTGGATATAGTTTATAAAAGAGGAACCAGCACTTATGCCTTAAATTGCAGAATCCATTGTTCACCCTCCTTCCTTCATTATATTCTCTGTTAAATTTATGGACTTTGGCCTGTAAAAGTTACAGAACATATCAGATATAGATTAATAGATGAAGCAGAAAAATAAGATAAGGAATAATAAAATCTTATGTCTTTTTAATGCAACTTCTGAATGAAGAGAAACTAATTAGGTTTTGCTGCACTCTATTTGATGAAATAGTATCCTAATACGAAAGGGAATATCTAATTGAGATGTTTATTGCATCCTTGAACTGTCATTGGTCTACAATATAACTTAATTTTCTGAAGATATAGAACAATTGCCATCAAAAGAAGCATTTCTTAACATAAAATTTGATGCTAGACGCGATATTTTCCGTATTTTGTTTGAACTGAGAAACCAAATAGAATGAACATCAAGACCTATGACTCATCCCTAATTAGGTCTTTATTGAGCTGTTCGAAACATTTTAGTTACTGCTCATCTATTAATTTTCCTAAATGTTGTCTTTTATGCCACTTCCACCTCGCAAATTATAAGGGCTTCCCAGTAATTCCAGAGTATAGTCAAAATCTTCAAAACGGTTCTATAAAACTAAACTGCACCCTGTCCACTCTCAAATGAAAACTCTCTTCTCAAGATATCCGACTATTTAGGCTTTCACAAACACATCACCCCTTTTCCTACCTCAGCTTGCTACCAGCTGGTGTTTCTTTCAAAGCTTCTTTTCCTGTCCTCTAATTCTGTTTGGAGTCTGCCCTAGAATTATATATTCATTTTCCTGTTGATGAAAGAAAAGCCTAGAGAAGTTGTTTTATACTTAGAAAACTAGTAACTGAATGATCTAGGACTTAGCTTTTGACTGATGACTCTTCTGCTAACTTCACACTCCTTTAGCTAAAGATACAAAGCTTCCCTGATCTGCTTGCTATTCTAATTGTGGTTCGGGCATAACACATTGGCATCACTTGGGAACTTGCTAGAAAGAATTTCAGATCCTACTCCAGACTGGATCAGAATCTGCATTTTAAAAGAAAGCCAGGTGATCATATATGCACATTGAAATATAAGAAGCACTGCTCTAGAATAATGACGTTTATGAGTACCATGCCCCCATTCTGTCTAAGTTACAGAGAAGGATTTGGCCAAAACTCCAACCAGGAAGGTAGGTTCTGGTGTTTGGCATGTCAAGAAGTAAAAATAGAATGAACAGTCCTTCTCAGGACACCCAAGACAGGAGAGAAACATAGGAGTAACTCTGAATCAAAGTCCTTTGAAAGTATCAAAAGTTGGGCCAAAGACCCCTACATTGTCAACAAGACCAAAGGGCAGAAACAGTTTACAAACAAAAGAGCAGCCCATGTTTGGAAGTGGGTGGAATGGGGGTGATGGACCAAAGGTCAGCCCAAGTAGAAGGGGATAGGGGAGGAATTGAGCATAGACTGCAAGCTGAGTGGAAGGTGCTCAGCTTTTCTTTATAACAATAGTTTTCAAACTTTAGCAAAGTTGATTGAAACTCAGATTACTGAGCTCCACTACTGATTCACTGGGTTTGAGTTGGTGCTCAGAATTTGCATTTCTAACAAGTTGCAGGTGATGCTCTTGGTCTGGAGGCAATTAACAACAGCTGCTTTTAACCATCAGGGTTATCATTTGAGGGAAGATAAGAATGCTTCTTAGTACCAGATGAAGCATTCTTTGGGGGCATGTAATTACAAGATGACTTAGTCCTTCAATTTTTATGTTCATGTTTTGTTTTTCCAACTTGACTGTAAAGTTTCTTCAAGGTCATGGTAAATTATTGAAAGGAGGGGAGGTTTTTTTTCTCCTTTGTGCCTGAAGGAGTATAACTACTGATGGAAAATGATGATTTAGGAAGTTACTCCTTGCGATCCTTCTGTTGTAGAGTGTACGACCAAAATCAAGCCCAGATTTGTTGGAGGAACAGTGTCTGTTCACAGTGAATGGCCATGGCAGATAACTTTGCACATCACATCACCCACCCGAAGACACCTGTGTGGAAGTTCCATCATCGGAAACCAGTAGATATTAACAGCTGCTCATCGTTTTGAGTTGCTACTCTTTTTTTCACTCATTCACCATGCCCACATGTATATTAAATCTATCACTAGGATTTTAGTACTTTTTTTTAAAAAAAATGTATATTATCCTATTTACTAAATAAGTTTTCTATCTTTAGTGAAAAAAAGTGAGCAAAAAGGAAGAGCCACTCATGGTCTACCAGCATCGGAATAGGTGCAAGAACATTGCTGTTTGCGTATTATTTCATTTTCCCATTTTAATGTACACACCTCCCCAGGGAGTTCCTGTTAGTTCCCATAAGAGCACACTGTATTTGGTGCATTGTCCTGGGCGTTGAGTCCAGAACTAAACTGAAAGAGAATTTTCTGTAAGAGTTTATCATGCATCCTCAAATCAGATTCCTTACTTAGGTCAATTTCAATACTGGGCAAACATAAAAGCTTCATTGGAAGCATATACACATCCTGGGGAATTTTAGTTGGCCAAACTTCCTCTTTGCACTTCAGTATCTGAGTTGTTTCCAGACATAGTTTTGTTTTGTTTTTAAAAAAATTAGTATGGAGCATATTCATAACTCAAAGATACATTTGAGGCCAGTAGTCTTCTTTATCTTTTACATACTAGAAAGTTCAAATGAATTTCTCAGGGTCACAGCTAATGAATGGCAGGGTTGAGACTAAAACCTGGAGCTCTTCATACTCTGTGTGTGTGTGTGTGTGTGTGTGTGTGTGTGTGTTTAAAGCATTGTTTCACTTTTGTGTGTTTAATATAAGATAAATGCTAGCCTAAGACCTTCTAGATAGGAAATTTATGTGATTGAAAAAGTCTTAGTACGATACTGCTTCTTTCTACCTAAAAGCCCACCAGTAGGAGAAAAATGTTAGATAGTAATAGCCAGTTAAATAACAATATAGCTCAAATGTTTGGGAATTAGTTGGTAAAGGAAATCTTTTTCCTCTATTGTTTACTCTATAGGGTAAATTCAGCCAAAAATTTGCATGTCTACAGTGGCATTTTAAATCAATCAGAAATCAAAGAGGATACATCTTTTTGGGGGGTTCAAGAAATAATAATTTATGCTCAATATAAAATGGCAAAAAGTGGGGATGATATTGCCTTGTTGAAACTGGAAACAACAATGAATTACACGGGTATGCAACATTTTAAATGGAAGGTTATCTCTAATGATGACCTAGATATCCTCTTTGATGCTACTAGATTCATGGCCTGGCCCAGCGATCTCTCTCCATGTTTATTATCATGAAAGGAAGAGGGTCTGCAAAGCTAGTCTTTCAGTCTGTTAAGACTGACTCTCTTTCCTGATTATTATATCTTATTTGGGGGTGTGGGTGAAATGATAAATTTTCTCCAGGCTTCTTCAGATGCACAGAATGATATAATTCTTATAATATATTAGAATACTAAAGATGATCTTCTTTTTAGGGACAAAAGTATTGCAGGTCAGAGCAATTAGGCAACTTCTCGAGGGTCATAGACCTTGTTAGAGTGATGGAGTTAGTGGGGAGGACTGTGGCTCATCTCTCTCATTTCCTTATCCTGAACTGTGTAAACACGAGAGATGAAAATGAATGACAACGAAGCAAAAATGAATATAGTAAACACAGAACAAAAAGAAGATATATTTTGTGTCTGATAACTAAGTTATGATTTTTAAAATTTAGATTTTCAACGACCCACTTGCCTTCTGAAAGAAAGAGAAAGATATATTCTGATTGCTGGATGACTGGATGGGGTACAGAAAATTAATAGGTAAAAGATGATGTTTCTCTATATGCCCCATTTTACAGATAAAAACCACAGTTTAATCATAACCTTTTCTTCTATATCAAGTCATATAGCTAAAATACAAGCAAAATAACATTATTTCAGAAAGCATATTAATATGATGGAAAGACAAAATCACCCTAGTGAGAAGGTTACCAAGTCTATTTGATTGGAGATTTTAAATATGACAATCTCTTTAGAGACTGGTTACTTTTACTGAAGTTTAATGTGAAACCTAGCACTTTTTAGTAAATCTTCTAGCTTATTATCCAATTATTTTCTCTGGGAAGTAATTTCAGTTAGAATCTTAATTAATTTAACTTAATTAACACTAACAAAATGATACAATAGTGAGAACAATGTCTTCCTTACACTCTGTAATTATAAAAAGGTCTATGAGGTAAACGTAACATTTTTCTTTCTAGATTTTTATATAGGTAAAATTTTGATTTTAACTACATTTATTTATATTAAATATATATTTATATTATATATTCAGTTATTCCATTAACAAACCAAAGTTTCATAAGAATAAACCCCGTTTTGTGTTTAAGACCATTTGAATTGGGTTATCTATTACTTGCAGTGGAAATATCGGGATACACTGGGACTTAGTGACCCAAAGTATTTTTGACTATTACCCTGATTCTATTAAATTTAACCTAAATTTATTAGGCACTTATTGGAGCATTATTCTATGAAACATAGTGTTTTTTTAAATTGTAAAAGTTCTATTTTTCTTGAATAATTTTGATTCTAAACATTTAAACAAATGTTGATCATTACCCTTTATAATGCTGTTTTTCTGGATGGCAGTAATCTGGAGGCCACACCTGATCACACATCCTGCTGTTCTCATGTGCCAGGACCTTGGGCACCAGTAGGTTGTCATTATCACAGACCATAAGGAGTGAACTCAATCTTTGGAATGAGAATCATATATAAGACTCATTTATCTAAGAAGACTTTATAAATAATACCTTTTACTTTGTATATGATTCACATGGCCTTAGCTATTGTCCTACCTCGTACAATGTATATAGTATATCATATAGTCATTATTTATTTCATCCAAAATTCTCAGGAAAGAGATTACATTTAAAATGCCTTGCACAATAACTAGCTTAAACAGATATTCAATAAATTAGTTCCCTCCCTTTTGCCTTTAGGTATCAGGCAATATTATCGTAAACACAATAGTGTACGGTGAGATTCCCAGATGTAGATTGTAATTATGCATGCATGTGTTTGTTTTACCTATCCTACCTAAAAAGGTGTCAATATTTATCTTTTATTTCCTGAAGCAGCTTTCTCACCACACTTGACTGCCTCCCGGGGAACGTGAGCACACACGTAGCCACAAACACCTTTCAAAAGACACTGTGCTGTGTGGAGGCAGGAATTTCCATATCCTGTGAGGATTTGTAGATAATATCAGTGCTTAGATATTGTCAAAGGAACTGTCAGGGTGGCACTTAAGACCTTGGCCAAGAAGGCACCTTAGCAAAGCAGACAGAATACAAAACCTTCTTCATTACATGGAAAACAGTATCAACCATTTTTTTTCTTTCTGATAAGTCTTTGCTACCACTATTGAAAATAATTATCTCCATTATAAGAATGGTAAAGCAGAAAAGAGAAATCAAGACAAAAAGTTCCATCCTCAGAAATATGTACATAATGGAAAAAATTGATATTTGGCTTGTGGATCTGGATGTATTTCTCAGGTCATTACTTCACTTGGTTGAGAGAAGGATTAATAAAGATGTTCCAAAATGATATTTATGCCTCATATATATTTAATCGTGCTTGCAAAATGGTAGCAATCAAGATAGGACTATTTTTCAGACTTGAAAGTTAATTTTTTTTTATTGCGATTCTACTTTGTAAATGAGAAATGAAATGAGAATCTGAGATGTGATGGGCAGCCTTTAGCATTCTATCTGGCAATCAGTATATGAATTGAGCAGTATACTGATGGTTGTGTTGGAGTTTATAAAGATAGTGTACAGCTAAATTACAGGCTTGGGTGCTCCATTTGCTCACTCTTCTAATTTAGCTAAATTCCAAGCATTATACATTTATATCTATGGTCCCAGTCTCTTCTCTCCTGCTACTCCAGAGGGAATTAAAACTCATGTAAAAAGAGTTACTCAGTTACCCTAGAGGATCAAAATATCAAATTCTAAGTTGCTTTAGTGCCTAATTGATCTATTATTTTTGATATTTTTCCCCTGACCAAGTGCTATTGCACTTTGACGAGACAGATAGGAGGTGACATTTGGCACATAAACTAGTGGGGACTCACAATCTATTAAAGAGGAAAGTGATTTTAGTGATCATAATCACAGAAAAGAAGCCCAGGTGGTGAAGGGGCCTCTCCCACGTCACACCAAGAGTGAGGGCAAGAGTTGAGCCTAGAAAACCCAGGTCGACTCACTATGGGCCCCAGTTCTTCAGGTGCTGGTGTAAATGTGAAGGCTAGTCACATAATAGAGTTGGAAGGGAAAGCAGCCCTTTGTCAGGGCATGTATTTCTCTTTGCTGCTACTTACATATTAGAAAGAAAAAAGATTCTGTGGTGCCACGCTTACTATTTACAGGCATTTTTACATTCAGTTGCTGTTTAGTCTTCACATGTAGACTTGACACTGAAGGCAGGCTACAGTTCTCAGTCAGGATCTGTGTATTTTCCTCCCTATTTCTTCTAAACTCCAGCAGCTTCTAGGACAATGTTGGGGAACTGTGTATGTTGAAATAAATTAGGAGCTTTCTTGAGCAGCTTTTTAAAGATTCCCATGGAGGGCATAACCATAGGAATATTATTTATATCATTATCACTTCATTCTATCTAAAAAGAGTTAAAGTGAACATTCTAGAGTTAAGTAGACAGCTTGTTAAATAGATATAGAGATAAAGTTCAGTGGGCCCAGCAATTAGTGATTAGCATTGCTAATAATAATAGTAATATCATTTTGATTAATATCATTTAAGATAAGAAAAAGAATACAAGAATATTACAATATCTACCTCTTATGGCGTGCTCGCTGTGTGCTGCAGGCTATGTTGTGTGTTTTACTCCTTGTCGCACCTCATACCCCTCGTTACACTTCATACTCTTCATTACTGCCATGTAAGATAAGGTATTATTACTCCCATTTTAACATTATATAATATTATTGTTTTTACAGAGAGGAAAAAAAAATCAGTTTGTATTTTCAACTCAATTCTCTATTTTCCCACTAGATGGCACTTTTAACCTCTTTTTGTTACATTTTAACCCATAGCATCTGAAGAGAATGCACTTAATTTATAATGTATTTAAACAAATTCTGTGTGTATATAATATCTGAAAACATGAAATCAACGTAACTGCTTCAATTCAAATTTGCTTGACTTTTCAAATATAATCGTTGTTAAGTCTCTAGTCCCTAGGTAGTAGCTTCTCCTTTATACCATACGCTCCAGGGTTCCTCAGTTTGGGGACTTTAGTTTCCTTTAGTGACTATTATGAGCCCTCAACACAGTGCACAGTGGGTGGTGTGTACTGGAGCACTCCCCAAACACCTCTAGGATTGCAGAGGGTGTGCTTACCTGTGTTCCACCAACCCATCCTTGTCGTCACTTGCCATCTTGCTGAGTCACATGGCCCAGGACTACTTCTTCCCGTGTGTTTGTGGTTTTCTTTAGGTTGCTGCATCCCTCCTCACCTTTTCACCTCCCTTCCCGACCCTCTAGTCACCACCCGCCCTTCCTTCATACCTGCCCAACTGGACATGTGAACAGAATCCCTGCTCTTGATTACTCAGAATATTGTTAAGATCATATTGCAATATTTAAAACAAACACAAAAAAAATCGTTGAATACTGAAGCCTTGGTGATAATAGAAAAAAGAAAGAAAAAAAATACATTCTCATTCTACACACACACACACACACACACGGAAGTGGATATGGACACAGTCACTCTAAGGCTCCACAGTCAAGTCCTCTGTCTCCCTGACCCACAGCTTACAGGGACTAGTGTTAGCATCCTCCAGACACAGGGTCCACAGAGGCAGAACAAGGTTTGGTGGAGCTGAAGCTTGTACTACTTTGTGACTATGACATAAAAAGTCTCTTAGGGGCAAAACTTTGGTCAGTATCTGGTTTGTCCCTTCTTGTGTACAGAGGAAAGGCCTGAGGGACATATTTGCCCTGCCTCACGGACAGTGTCTAATAAGTTGGCTAAGGACTTGAGGGAGGAAAAAATGAAATAAAACTGATAGAAAGAAAGTCTGAGAAAGAGAGTTGGTTATAGGTGCAACTCTCGGAAGGGCGATGTGAATCATCACAGCTTCCATGCATGCCCACCAGAGGGTGTAGTTATTCTGTGAACCGAAAATCAGCCTTAGACTCCAGAGTTGAGAAAAGTTGAGAAATTGCTTGAAACCTTAAAACGTCATTCCCTCTCAATCCCACTTTACGCTGTCTTCAATTTGTAGCCCTCATGTTTCCACCTGGAGCCCAGTCTCAGCGTGAGCATCCTATAACAAAATCGTAATCCGACCTTGCTAACCAGACGTATTTAGGTATCATGGGATATCTGAAAAGGTGCAGATACTATCCATCTGTATCCAGCTCCCATGAAGCCTATTTAAAGCGCTCTGCCGTGTCTGGACATTGCAGGTACCGGCTCAAAATGCCTCCCCGGTTCGTTTATTACATCACTAAGCTAAAATCACCTTCTACGGAATAAAAGAGGCCCCTCCAGAAAGTGAGTCCGGATGATACCTCTCTGGTAAGAGGTGCCTAATAGGCAGATGTTTATTGAAGTGCCACATTCTTTGGGAGGGAAAATGGAGCCTTAGGAAGTCGTATTTAATTCAAATTAAGCCACTGAACAGTTTGTCTAAGGAAGAGAGCGTATTGTGTATTAGAATATAGAGCAAATTTATACAGAGAAGTACTGTTTGGAATGAATTTCAGTTCAAGATTTCCTTT